GCCATTTGTTCGCTGCCTGCTTTGTGACACCCATTTGCTGATGGTTTAATGTCTCGCCTCATTTAAATCTTACGACATCTCTTGGAGGGAGAAGAAATGAAACAAAGTTTTCTTTCCACCATTACCAAGAGAAATTGTTGGCTACTACATAACTTGAACTTCATGTATAATAACCTAGAATTGAGTCCTATAGACAGTTTCTGGGGTGCAAAAGCTGCCTTGTATTTTAGGAAGCACTTGTATCAGTACAAAGCAAAACATTTGAGAACTATTTAGTGAGGTATTGCAAGTAAAAATTTAGACTGGTTTCCTTCCAGACGCACATGGAGTTGCTTGGAAAGGCTAGTTCTTTGATTTACAGTGTTACATACTGTGGAATACATGCTCCACACCATTTGAATGGCTTTCATATTTCTTCCCTCCATGAGCATTTATTAGAAGGTTTAAGATGCCAGCAGATCTTTCAGTTTAACGTGAACACTTTTGGGAGGTTTGATTTCCTTCCATGGTTTTAAAATAAATGTTTCAATTTTATGACTTTTTTTTTTTTTTTTTACAATATTGCTTGACTGAACATAGCCTGTTTTGTCAGATTTCTAGCATTTTCTAACCTTTTATAATTCTGCAGAATTGCTGGCCTTAGATCTTAAGGTTAAGTTTTTTAAAAAATTTAACTCTAATTATTTGTTTGTAATTACTTATTTGGGCTTTTGATGTTTGCTCTATGAAACAAACCTTGTCTTTTTTTTTTTTTTTTTTTAATTATTCTTTGAGTCTTGAAATGCTAAAGTGTTGCTACCTAGTTAATAAAGGACACTAAGTAGCTTTGCAATTAGAAAACTCCCTGAGGTCTTTTTTCCTAGCAGGATATACATCTTTAAATTTAGAGGATGAGCAGACCAAGGGGCCCCAGCGTTCTGGAAGCAGGGTGAGGAGGGCGCTAAGAGAGGAAGGATAGGTCTGGTTTCCTGCATGCCAAAGAAAGTGTTAGTTGCTCAGTCGTGTCTGACTCTTTGTGAGCCCAGGTAGCCCACCAGGCTCCTTTGTCCATGGAATTCTCCAGGCAAGACTATTGGAGTGGGTGGCCATTCACTTCTCCAGGGGATCTTCCCAACCCAGGAGTTGGAACCTGGGTTTCCTGCATTGCAGGCGCGTTCTTTACCAGCTGAGCCACCAGCAAAGAGAAAGGAAGGCTTTTTGTTGAGGCTGTACCCATGCTGGTGCTAGTTATTGCTTCTGCAGGTTTTAAAAGATACTACGTGGTAGTGGAGACTTCACCCTCTACTTCTTGCCGTGCTCTTTCCGGGAATTCAAGAACTATACAAAAGCACACTGTGGCGCCTGAGACTGTGGCATCAATGAAGGGGTGAACACCTTGTCATGAATTTGACATTTTGGGGTTACGTTTGGGTTTAATCTGAGAACTCTACTTTTTGAAGCTCTTTGCTGAGAGCTCTGTAAGTGTTTAGTCACTTCTTAATCTTAGTGAAGCTACTACTGAATGAATGGAGCAATATTAATAATAATACCTTACATTTAATGCTTATTATAAGGCTTTAAAGTTCACAGAGTAATGTCACAGATTTTCTATTATTATTACTATTTTTTTTCTCATCTCAGCAGCCCTGTGAATTAGGTGTGGCAAGTATTATTGCGACCTTTATTGTGCAGTAAATTTAAAATCAGACAGAATACGTGACTAGCCCAAGAACAGTAGATTTTTTAAAATGTTTTCTAAAGGAGGTAGAGGGAGAATTACACACTCACTCACACACACACACACAGACCCATCACGGTTACCACCAACAGCATTTTTACAGAGGTCTGCATGCCCTAGGTTTCCTGTCAACCAAAATAGTCCTGTGATGTTGGTACCCACACTTCAATTATTTACAGAATGAGATGCCTCCTGGGGAAGGTGGCTGAGGAGAACTATACAGCTGAGGCTCTGAAAATGGAAAGGGCTTTGAAAATCTAAGCCTTAGTGTCCGCTAGACTATCCTCACTTTCCCTCTCCCTCACCCTTCCCCACCCCACCCTAATAGGTAAGACTAAGCCTGTTGGTTCTGCTGCTTTCTTTTTAAATCTGCAGCTACCCTAAAACTCCCACATGCCCAGATCCTCCCTGTCTCTGATCACACTGGCAGTGGACTTTGATGCTGGGCTTCTCATCTTGCTGTTTATGTTATCTTCCATGTGCTGTAAGAGCTGAAAACCCTAAGAACAGGGTGTTTTCTTGGGGTAAAGAGCATACTCCTAACCTAGAACATGGCACTCTGCAGACCCAGATTTCAGCCAGTGTTGCCAATTTCATTTCACAGCCTGGGATGTCATTTTCCTGTGTGGTTGGTAGCTCCCTGGGCATTCTGCTTCTCTGCCCTTGTGCCGGCTGTGGGCTCAGTTTGAGATGCACCCCACCCCACCCCACCAACCCCTGCGCATTCGAACCTTCTTGCCAACATGCTGAATTAGTATAGATTCTTTAACACTTGACTTGTGTCTTCTTCTCTGGAAGATTTTTCTGGATCCCCCTAAACAAAGTGAATGGGCTCTTGCATCTTTGAGGCCCACAGCACCTTCTCCAGAGCCTCACTGTGAAAGTTCATCACACAGTCGATGCCTGTTTCACCTGCTAGACTGAGAGCTTTCTGAGGACGGGGTCTGAGTCTTCACACCCAGAGGCACAACCTACTAGTCAACCCTAGTTGGCTGGATGTTTGACTGGATGCTTCACAATCGCTTTGGCTATGATGATGAGGACTGTGACAGTTTCTTTACTAGCTACCCAAGGATACCATTCATTAGGAGTGCTCCTGGGGTGTTCTAGAATTTAGGAAAAAAATATTTTCTTTGTCAAAAGACTGTTTCCTAATGGACTTAACTAGGGATTTGGAGTAATGGAGAACCCATTTTTTTTTTTCTTTCTTCATAGATGAAGGTAATCAGAAGTAGATATTGCAGATTATGGAGTTGAGTTCTACTTAAATATAGACTTGTATTTTTGCTGCATTAAACAATGTAGGGTTTGGCCATTTGCCTAATATAGGACAGTTAAAGCAGTCTGCTGTATTACTTAGGGAGTACTCTTTTGGAGATATCACTAAACAACCTTGGTATGTGTGCTTGTAAAACTTGTATATTCTCTTTGTAGATACTAATATATAGGAATAGTTTCTAGGTGTTATCAACTATGTTGCCAAGGAAAACAGTTTTTAAATCTAGTTATTTGGGTTTCACACACTTGTGCCTGGTGAGGATTCCTGTCTCCTGCTGTAATTATGACGAGTCTTTCGACCTACTTTGAGCAGTTAGACGGTATCTGTTTTCTGCTACTTATAAAATATTTACTCATCCACATCAATAACTTCTAGACCAGAAGTTAATAATGTTTTCATGTAGGTGTATATGTGTAGAGGGGAAGCAGTCAGTAGAGTTTGTATTATTTATAACTACAAGCTATAGAAAAAAGTCATTATTTCTTCTGAGTTTTAAAACTTCCTTAAGTAATTTACAGTAATATTTCTTGATCATGTGTGCCATTAGAACCAAAAGCAAGTGAGATTTGAAAAGAGATTGTCTCAGACTTCCCTGGTGGTGCAGTGGATAGGTATCCACCTGCCAATGCAGGGGACAGGGGTTTGACACCTGGTCCCGGAAGATTCCACATGCCACGGGACAGCTAAAGCCATGTACCACAACTACTGAGCCTGTGCCCTGGAGCCCTGATCTGCAACTAGCGAACCCATGTGTTGCAACCACTAAGGCCTGTGAGCCTAGAGCCCGTGCTCCACAAGAGAAGCCACTGCAATGAGAAGCCTGTGTGCAACAATGAAGAGCGGTCCCTGCTCACCACAACTAGAGGAAATCTGAGCGCAGCAACAAAAACCCAGTGCAGCCAAAAATGAACAGATAAACAAAAGTATATGAAAAAGAAAAAAGATCACCTCATGTAATTATGTACTTAATTTTAAAGAGAATAATAGAATGAGTATGTATATATATATATATAATATTGTCAATAATGTGCCTAAAATTGACATTTGAATTGACTGAATTGTATCTTTGGAAATGTATTTGAAAAATGAAAATGAATGTAAACATTAACCCATCAGTCAAAAAAGGTTAATTTATAATATAGAATTTTTACAAATTTTTGTGAGATAAATGAAAATAATGTTTGGATCTTCTGTGACAATACTCCTTTACTGTAGAATATTGGGAGTTGACGTCTATTCTAGATTGTAATCCATTCCACAAACACATAGAATCATTAGCAGATAAAAGCAGTGCTCAGTCAAACTTCCATTTTCCTCTTTAAACAGAAAAAAATTTGTTTTTTCACTTAGAGATATCACTATATTATTTCACTATGATTTTCTAACTTGATATTTAGTAGTAGAGTTAGGACTATAATCTTAGTTTTTTGTTTTTCTTTGTTTTCCCCTTATAACAATGCAGTGCAATCATTATAACATACTGCATCTCAGATTTCCACACCGTGTTCACCCTCGGTATGTGTAACCTTGGGGAATAGATGGCTGAAATGTGATTGCTTGATTGCTGTGATTGTTTCTACTTCTTCCATCACTTTTGACTATCAAAGATACATACCATGAATAAGTAATTGATTGTGCAAGGTCAGATAAGGCAAGGAAAGACACTAATCTGGTTCTACTGACTTTCTAAGACCAGGTACCCCATTATAATTAAGAAGTGCTTAATAACATTTACATTGGTTTGGTTTCTTTATAAATCACGTTAGCAATGGTTTCTTTTAAAAACCCTAAGCTAATGAAAAGGGTGGTATTTTAACAGACTAAATAATTATTTGAGAAGAAATGTTATGGGTAGAATTTAAGAATTCACCAGAGAATGGGCTAAATGATGTTTAAATGTTATTTATACTCAAACATTCAAGATTCTAATACTCAGCTATAAGGGAAATCTGAAAAATGCTGGTCTCCTTAGTTACAGTGTTTTCATTTGTTGGTTTATCACAGACTGCCTCTTTAAGGTATGCCCTATGAACCGATATTCTGCTCAGAAGCAGTATTGGAAAGCCAAGCAAGCTAAACAAGGGAACCACACAGAGGCAGCCTTGCTGAAGAAATTACAGGTAAGGACCAGCCTTCCATCTCTCTGGCTTAGGATAGAACAAGTACAACAATAACAAAAGATCTATTCCATAGCTTAGTGATTGCCCTCAGTACGCTGAGATCCAGAATAGATGTGGCAACATGCTGAAAGTGGAAAGGACTGTTAAGTCCTTTTAATCAGTGTATGACTACTGATTTCCTGGTGTGTAGGGAATGTATTTCTTGCTATTTATTAGGGTGTGCCAGACCAGTTCAGATATTCACATCACACTGAAAACCAGTTCAGAATCTCTGCAGGAATATCAAATCCAGTTATATTTTACCTGACATAGGACCCCATTTTTTTTTTGAAAGACGATCAGAAAAAAAAATGGAAAGTCTATTGTTTCTGATTTGGACTCTGTGTAAGTTTAATAGGACTTCGTGTGTCATTAAAATTCCTGTTACTTTTAGAATTGAAACTGTATTTTGAAGCTTTTGAAATTTATCTGTGTTTGGCTTCTCTAGCAATATTCCTAATGAAAATACTTTTTTAAGACCAAACTGCTTAGTCCTTTTTCTGAAATTTCCAACATAAGAGCATATCAGTATATTTTAGGCTACATTTCAGCATTAAACTGAGAGAATTGTCACACATTATAATCATATATTTAGTTACTGCCCCACTTTTCCCTAAGCACCAACTTTAAAGCAATCTGCCTATTTTAGTCTTGATTGTATTCTTTGTTCCTAAGATAAACCTTTTTTTCTGTGTCAGCTATTGTTCTCTATTTGTTTGGCTTTCACAGTAAATATTTGATAATCACTTTACAGCATGCTGCAGAACTGGAACAAAAACAAAATGAATCAGAGAATAAGAAGCTATTGGGAGAAATTGTGAAGTACAGTAATGTTATACAAGTAAGTGTCTATTTATTTTCATGTAAAAGAGATGAATATTTTATTGATAATTTGCATTTGGTAGAAATGCCAACCTGCATTAAAACTGAGGGCTACAATAGTTTGTTCTTTGGTCAGAATGATACAGACAGTGTGATATTTTCAGTTGATATTCAGCACATCATTCTATATGAATAAATCTGGTGTGTACACAGAAAGAAATTAGCTTATCTAGATGAATTGCACAAATTATTAAATCAAAAGGAAGAAGATGGGGAAAGCTTGTAATAAAATAGTCTTTTAGAATTAATGAGACTAAACATGTAACATATGAAGCTTTATCTTTTCATTTTGTAGGGAGGAAAGTTTTCAAATTGTACTTTTAGATCAGAACTGTCCTTGAGTTATTATATCTTCTATTTCAGTTAGTATGCACACTGATTTATTTCATCAGCATTTCTTTCTTGTGCTTCACTTAGATCTTTTAATTTTTTACTTGATAGTTGTTAATATATGCCCCACCTTGTTCCAAAAAGAATGTAAGGCATTTTCAAAACATACTTTTCACATAACAAGATAAAATAGAAATAAATAAGGCAACTGGATCAAAGAGAAAATACTGATTGCATGAATAAAGTGAAGTCAGAGGTGAGGCATGTTTATCATATCCATGTTGTAAAGGCTGGTAAACTTTGAGTTGAAGCCTTTTTGTTGCTTGTCGAGTTATAAGGCCATGTGAAATACTGCGATATTCACATATTAGTAGAAGGCCGGTACAGAGAACTAAGTCAGAAAGTTGGAAGCACAAACATTCTCAGGAAGAGGACCAGAGAACTATTTCTCCAATGAGCTCTCATAAAGAGGACACTGTTTAATATAGTAAACAATGGCCCTAACAACTTCCTTACCATAAATGCTACAATGAGGTGTTTCATAGAGCTGTTTCAAAAAATAACATCCCCTGATGTTTTGTTATTGGTCAATGGCCAAGTGCCAGAGCACGGGACCAACAGAGCAATTCTCTGATGGGGCCAGAGAGCCCTGGTCTGACTCCCCGGTTGTTATGAGTTAGTCCCATAATAGACTGTGTGTTACCTGTGGCTGAATGTCCCCTGGGTGTTCCTCCATAACTAGAGTTTCTCTTAACCAGGTTTTGCTTCATATTAAGTACCAGCAAGCAGAACTTAGGTTTCTTGTCAAGAATCTGACATGCAAATGTTTCCCAACACATTAGGGCTGAACCACACGCTCTAACAGGGTGGATTCCAAAAGGACTGGAGTTGGCCCGTGAGGGTTTTCACTGATTTCACTGGAAATTTCTGAGATAATTTCCTTCTTATTTTGTGGATGTTAAAACGACCATTCTTTTTTTGAAATGATTGGATTAATAAACAGGAAGGTTATTTGTTTCGGTTTTCCTACTCAGAATAATGTCTTGGAAAGGTTTTGCCCATGGGATCCAGGTAACCCTAGCAGTGGCGCTCCTGCCTTCATCTGAGAAGGAGCGAGATCGTGTCCTCTTGTGGGAGGGGTTGTTTAGGATGAGCAGTTGGTCTCCTCACACAGGGGGATGAGGGCTGGTTTTAGGCAGGGGTGGTTAATAATATGAAGTGGGTTGATGCCTTATTCCAGTTCCTTGCTTATCCTTTAATGTAGTTTGCTTTTGTGGCCAGGGAGGAATTGAGAAAGAATATATTGAGTTGATCAAAAAGTTCATTCAGGCTTTTCTGTAATATCTTATGAAAACCTGAATAAACATGTTGGCCAACCCAGTAGTGGGGAGTAACATCCTGGTCTCTTTTGGAAAGCCTGGGTTTGTCCTATTGTTTATCATTAGATGAAAATCATTCGGGGATGTGTCCTTAGTTTTTTTTCCTTATGTGCTCACTTCATATGAAACAGCACTAGGGGGTGGAGGTGAGGAGGAACCCAAAGAAAGTTAACTTGGAAAGATGATGAGTCTGCAAAGAGCTTCTTTGTTTATTCTCTCCCCTGAGCTGTGTTTTGCGGGTATGTGATTTAAATATAAATATATATGTGTAATGAACAGAGGCGATCAAAGAATGAAGGCAGTAATCCCTATCTTTTTCCTACAGCTACTGCATATAAAAAGCAACAAGTATCTGACTGTCAACAAGAGATTACCTGCTTTACTCGAGAAGAATGCCATGCGTGTGTCCTTGGATGCTGCGGGAAATGAAGGGTCTTGGTTTTATATTCATCCCTTCTGGAAGCTAAGAAGCGAGGGCGACAATGTATGTAGCTCTAAGATGAAGAGAAAAAGTGTGTTCTTAAAGATGTTAGTTCTTAATAATGGGAGAATCCAAAAAGTGCGAAGAAAGGAAAGATAGTTTTCAAGCTTCCACATATTATTTCATGTTAATTTCTTTAATTGGTTGAAAGCATTTATTTATAGTACAGATTGTGCTCGGGAATCATAAAAAGACTAAGATCAGATTGATTTAAAATCATCTTCCAGCCAGAATTTTGTGAAAGAATTTAAGTAACAGAATTTGCTTCTTGGCCTTATTCAGGAGGGAGTGTGGCTGTATAGAATAAGCTGTGTTTAGGAGATGGGAGTTTATTCCTTTGAATTAATAGAGTAACACAGCAAATTATGACAATATGTCATTTATTGGCTCAGTGGCCAGTTGTTTACAATCTGTACAACTTAATAGATGTGTAATGTATGAGGAGATGTGTAATGTAATGATTGGCAGTGGCTCATTGATGACAATACTTAAATATGTTATATCATATGAATTTTAGTAGTTGCAAAATATTTTTCTGATGCTTTATGGAGCAGAGGAAATAAAAATTACATGTGATGATTCAATAGGATCAGTAGTTAGATATTTTTGTGTGTAATAGATGAAGTAGCAGGTGACAGTCCCTGGCATGTGGGAGATGCTTAATAAATTCTGGTTGACACCAAGTACTCAATTTTGTAAATAGAATACAAATATTGAGTCAGGTGATCAATAAAAATAGTTGAGATTTTAAAAAAAATTAACATTAAAAATTGAAAGCAATGTTAAGGTCTTATTATTCTGACAGTTTTCTCAATCAATACTATAATGATATTTTAAAATGTATTGGCTGTTTCTTGTCTTAGGAATGTCTTATATTGTAATAAATCTATTTTCCCAGTGAATTTTGAAATCCAAATTCAACTCCACAGGTTACAAGCTTCATGGTTTAATTTGGTTAATAGATTAGCTGATGGTATCCTCCTTCGGTAAGGTTTGGGAGAAGCATGGCATGCAGGAATGTAATGCACTTTAAACTTGTTTTGGATTCCTTGAAAATAAGTTACTTTCTTTTTTCTTTTGGCATCAAGTGATATGTGCTGTGAGCATGACATATATTTTAATTTCAGTAGGTAGTTAATTACAGTCAACTCTCAATTATTAGGGGCTGGTCATGCAGCTTAAGAACAACCTGTGTCTTTGGATGCCCTGTTTTAAAATACTTCTCCAGTCCCCCTCACTGAGTAGGGTCCCTGTTTGCAGGTAGTCAATGAAAATTAAGCATGAAAACAAACAAGAGCTGAGCTCAAGCTCTAAAGGAATGGGATGAAATCATTGGATAAATTGGGGCCTTGAGATTAGCATGGATTTTATTTAATTCATGCTGTCTAATTTGTCATCTTATCTATTCCTTTCCCTACTCCCAAATGCCTTTATGGACTTCTCTCATGGTTCAGATGGGAAAGAATCTACCTTCAATGTGGGAGAACCAGGTTTGATCCCTGGGTCGGGAAGCTCCCCTGGAGAAGGGAATGGCAATCCACTCCACTATTCTTACCTGGAGAATCCCCATAGACAGAGGAGCCTGGTGGGCTACAGTTCATTGGGTCACAAAGAGTTGGACAGTAAGCTCCAAATGTCAATAAGGATGATTTTATTAATTCATCCTATCTAATTTTTCATCTTATATTCCTTACTACTCCCAAATGTCTTTACAGGATCAAAGAGAGTTGACTGTAATGAACTATTTCAAATAATAAGTTGGACTGGATTGCAGGATGGGGAACAACCTACCACCCAAGCCTCCATCTTGGTTAAAGTGGATAGTATAATTGTTACGTGCAAAATAGAGATCCTCCTTATATAGATGTGCTCCATAAAGCATGGCTAAAACAACCTTACACATTGCTTTTTGCTGAAATAACTCACTGTTTTTGCTCACCACTGTAGCTTTTGTGTGTGATGAAGGTTGCTGTGAAAGCATAAGCACATCCATAGACCTTTATTTCCATGAAAATAATTATATCATAATGCTCATTAGGAATAGGTAGCATTATTCTAAAATATAAGTGTATTGTATTTTATTGAAGGCAGTTGGAAACCCTGTCATTTCATAACAAGTGGTTTAATTACTATTGATTTTTTGAAGCAGTTTTTCATAAAATTTTTTAAATTATCAAAGTATGATAACATTTACTGGAGACTTGGAAAATACAGAGCCGAATTACATATATTTCCACTATATGTTACAGTTATTTTTTAAGTAGATAAATTAACATTTTTTGGTTGGCATTTCAGTATCATACTCTCAGAAATTAGTAGAATGAATAGACAGAAAAGTAGAAGGGATATAGTAGATTTGAAGAGTGCTATGAACTGATTCAACATAATTAAGCTTTATACAATTTTCCCACAACAACAGGATACAAATTCTATTCGTTTCCATGACTGTATAAGACTATAGATTTTTTTTAAAAAACATTAAACTAAAAAGAAGAAATTTCAAGATTTAAAGGACTTTTAAATTTCTATTTTATTATTTACTAATTAAGTTGCGATAACTACCCAAAAGATGTTCAGTGACTGAAAGCTAATCTAAGACTAAGGCTGATGATAGGCTAGAGAGAAAAGTGCTCATATCCTCAAAAAATCAGTGGTTTCTACTGTTTAAGGCCATCTCTGTCATATATCTTATAGAATTTAAGGGTAGATAATTTTGGGGGAAAAAATAGTTTCATGTATCCCTCAACTTTTAGCTGTGTAGATGTCCATGCTTGTTGTTGCTCAGAAAGTCATTGGGGACAGCTTTGAGCAGAGTACATAAATATTTTATTTTTGTTTATCTTCCCTTGATTGAGTAGTTAATTTTTCATCCTCAACTTTGATCTAAGAAGACATCAGTTCTTTACCTTGATAGTAGATTTTAAAAGGGAGAAATGATCAGATATTTCTTTCAGTCAAGAAAAAGATAAACAACCCTTAGGGAAAGAGCCTCTTTAAATAGCAAGTAGATTTCACCCATTTGAAAACCTAGACTCCTTGGAATTCCAGAGAAGGTGAGACTTGATCCCTGGTGTTTTGATTTCTACTGCAGTGTTCTTTTTCATCACACCAGGTGCCACTTCAAAAGAAGGGTGGCTGCTGGTGGTATTGTGTTGCTCTTTATTTCCAGTAAAATCCCAGCATGAATCTTCCATGGCTGTTACATAGAATCAGCAGAAATGCTTTTGGAATTGCAGTTTTTTAAAATGTGTGTGCACTAGGGTGAACGTGATATGGCAGAAAATGATATCATCCTCGAGTTCTGTATTAAATATATGGCTTCTCAGAGGACATCTCTCCACATCAGTGGATCAGGCTCTATGCCTGCACTCTTCTGAAAATACTACCAAATTTACCAAATTGTCTAAACAGATAAGAATTCCTCGAGAATAGAGACTACTTCTCACACACACTTGTGTTATTCCTAGCACGTCTTACTGTTCTTTTTGTATCTTATGATTAGCATCTTGTCCATTTCATTTGTCAGTTTTATTCATCATGTGTGATCAAAGTAACCAGTGTCAACAACAAGACCTAAGACCTAGAAATTAGTGAGATCGTGTTAGATTCTCCTTATGAATACCACACTTAAGAATCCTTGAAGTTGGTGACATTTTGGCTATATGACTAGTCTCAAAGTTATAGAAGACTTTACAGCGATTGTTTTGAAGTAAAACTAATATAGGGATTGATCCAAAGCTTACAGAAAGCTATGGTAAAATAGAGTCTTAGAGCACTGACTATAGGTGCAACCAATATTCTTTTAATTAGAAAGATATAGCTAAAATATGTCATTATAGTTAGCAACTTATTGGCTAATATTTATATAGTACAGACAGGAATGATAGTGAACCAAATCTAACTGTTCTTTAGGAAGTTGGAAGACCAGATGTAGTATTGGCAGAGTGCAGTGTCGAGTCCCAGTGTCTTGTAGAATGGAAGACTATTCACGCGTCTACATGATTTTGAGACTTGGAGTTGGCTTGGTGTCATGTGCAATAACATATGTTTTTGTTTTTCGAGGGACGTATTGAAAATATGCCTGTCATGTTGATTTTTGTTTATTTTGTTTATAATTTAATTGCTTAAAATAGATACCAATTTGTGATTCAAAGATAGAAAACAATATAAAGATATATAGGGACAAGTCCCTTTTTCATCCTTTTTTCCATGTTCCCAGTTCCCACTTCTCTTTTTCACAGTTAACCACTGGGATGATTTCTTATGCGTATACTCCTACTCCCCCTTTTTTACGCAAACACAGCCCAGTTCTGCCGTCTCACCCTCTCACTTAGCACAGTCTCTAAATGATTTTTTCCATATCTGGACATCATAAAGAGCTTCTGTAATGGTTCTTTCTGAATCACAGCCTCCACCTGATTATTATGGACTTGAAAGGCAGGATGGTGAACAGAGACCAGTCCTGTAAATAACAGAAGCCGTTCCTGCAAACCAAAGAATAACCTTCTTTTGCTCGACTGATGAGCTTACGGCTTCTCTATCATATTTGAATCTCCAGGTATAGTTTGTGACAACAGTACTGTAGGTGAAGTAGACTCTTGTATATAATTTATTGACATTGAAAATGTGAAATTATGTTCCTTAAAGTCTTAGTTTAAATTCAGATCCAGGGAGAAGACGTTTCCTCTGTTTTTATTGTCTCAGTCCTAATTTGTTTTTCAGTTATCTATTAATCTATTCTAATATTTAGTTGATATGAACTATGCAAAGGGAAGGTATTGTTTTCGTTTCTGAAGTGGTGAGCAATTTTGTAAAGAAGAGTGAAGGTACTACAGAAGTAAATCTTCTAGTGGAACTTGACAAAAGTAACTTTAATAACTATAAAATAACTGTTCACTATTATCATTAAGAAAAGCACAACTTCATTTCCCCACAGTGATAAATAAAGACACTTAAAGATCAAGCAGACATTGTTAATAAAAAGATCAACTTTGACTTATTTCTTTAGAGCACTTTTCCCATAATTAATTTTAATTTTTATTTACAAATGAGCACCAGGTTTAAGGAACATTGTTAGTATTGGATGTTTAAAATAAAAGGGAACTGGTTACCCAACGCCCAAACTATAAACATGTTCCGACAGGGTCATACCAGATTCTTCATTTTGTGATCCAGATGATATTAGAATGTTTATTAAATTTCCGAGACTATGGGGCAGATCACATATAGTAGATTTGTTTTTAATTTAGAGCAAATGCAAATGTGTAAGATTCCCTGCTTACACTTGAAGTGGTTTTAATGTTTAGGCAGATTCTTGTTTTGTGGCAGATGCATTCATTCTTGACAGCTCTTGTGTGCATGACATCAGACCTCTGTGGAGGGATGCTGACCTAATTACTGACATTAAGAAAGCTCTAACTGAAATGGCAAACCAATAAGAAAAGAATCTAGGGACTTCCTTGGCAGTCCAGTGGTTAAGATTCCACGCTTCTGCCACAAGGGGCATGGATTTGATCCTGGTCGGGGAACTAAGATCCCACATGCCAAGCAAAAGAAAAAAAAAAATCTACACCAGTTTTATGAATCCACACTTATAGGCCCTGTGGGACATGGTTATATAATCATTTATCAGAAGATATTTTACCTTAAAGAGAAAAGAATTGACCTAGAATTTGGTAAACAGGCCAAATATTAGGTCAATCATGAGGACTCTTTACAGTTATTTTTAGCATCAAATATATCACCTCGGATCCATGCAGTGTCTCAGTTGCAACTTGGTTCTGATTTCCAGATCGTTGTTGGAGATAAAGTTGTTTTGATGCCCGTGAATGCAGGACAGCCACTGCATGCCAGCAACATAGAGCTGCTCGATAATCCAGGGTGTAAAGAGGTACGTTTGGGAGGAAAGGACGTGAATTTATTGATTTTTATCATGAGAAGAAAAAGAAATCTTATAGTTTCTCTCATTGTTTTCATAAGCATAAGCCCAGTTTATGCTAGTTATTATTACTAAGATACCTATAGGTTTTGAATGGTCCTTTGAAGGTATTTTTTGACATACATACCCCATTGTCCAAAGTTGTTCTTTTTTCTCCTTACTCTGGTTGAAATAATTCATGGTATAAAATGGAACCTGCAGTCTTATAACTTAATATCTCTTCATTAATAGGTGAATGCTGTTAATTGCAACACTAGCTGGAAAATCACTTTATTCATGAAATACAGTTCCTATCGAGAAGATGTACTAAAAGGAGTAAGTATATTACGTAGAACATTTGCTGGAAGAATCGAAGGTTGTCTTACTGAGCTTCTAGATGCAAAACCTATGTATTCTCTGTGTTTGAAGCTTAGAATGCGACTGTAAACCTTAAAACTCATGTTGAGTTTTCCTTCCTATATTTGGAAATGTATACGTAATCATTAAAAACCAAGTGTTAGCAGAAGGGCCCAGAGTATCAAAAACCTACCGAGTCACCTACTTTTTACGTCTGTTTGTTCAAACTTTTGTTGAAAATAGTTTTTAATTTATTTATTTTTAATTGAAGGATAATTGCTTTACAGTATTGGTTTCCTTTCTGCCATTCATCAACATGAATTAGCCATAGGCATACATAGGTCCCCATACCTACTTCCCTCCTATCTCCTCCCCTTTCCCACTCATCTAGGTGGTCACAGAGCCCTGGTTTGAGTTCCCTGAGACATACAGCAAAGGAAATGCAGTTTTTTATTTTTGCCTCTTTTTCTAGGGTGATGTTGTTCGATTGTTCCATGCCGAACAAGAGAAGTTTCTGACTTGTGATGAATATGAGAAAAAACAGCACATTTTCCTTCGTACAACCTTGCGTCAGTCAGCCACTTCTGCGACCAGTTCTAAAGCACTCTGGGAAATAGAGGTGCGTAAATAATTTTTGGCTTTTAATAAATGCTTTTATCTAAAAGACAAGGTCACTTGTATGGTTTATCGTTGTAAGCGTCACTTGCGCGTGCTTGCACACTCAGTTGCTGCAGTTGTGTCCAACTCTTTTCGACCTCATCACCCTAGCCCGCCAGGCTTCTCTGTCCATGGGATTCTCCAGGCAGGAATACTGAAGTGGGTTGCCATGCCCTCCTTCAGGGCATCTTCCCGACCCAGGGACTGAACCTGTTTCTCTTACATCTCCTGCATTGGTAGGCAGATTCTTTACCACTAGCACTCCCTGGGAAGCCCAAGCATCACTTGTGATAGATTCATAAAACAATAATTTTTGTGAAGCCTCTTGTACCTGTTTACCGCTGTGACCCAGTCTGAAATGTTGCTACTTCCTTTGTTTATCTTCTTAGAGGCATCTTTCTCTTTCTCTTGAATTTAATAAGTGTATATATATATATACATATATATATATATATATATAATTTTGCTTTTAAGAATTCCATTGTAAAGTGTTGACTTCAGGTCAACAGCAGACTGCAGGCCTTGTGCCTTGAACCGCACTGGTGCTGAGATGGGGCAGGAGGACTCCCTATAAGTGAGCATCATAAACCCAGTCACTGAAAAGAGCATTTGTGTCTTCTGGGGATGCTCTTTCTATTGGAGTGAAGAGAACCATAGTTAAGAATTCATTCGCCTTTAAGAGGTATTTTCTTAAATGTGACAATATAATAGAGTAATTAAGAAAATGGAAGGTATGGGTTTCTCTTTAAAAGAACTTTCTATACACTGGAAGAGAGAAGATATACCTGTGCTGTGCTCAGTCACTCGGTTGTGTCTGGCTCTGCAACCCCATGAACTGTAGCTCCTGTATCCATGGAGATTCTCCAGGCAAGAAAGATATACCTGAGGGACTGCAAACAACCCGATAAGTTCCATCTGGATTTAATGTATCTCCAGCCACTGTAGCAGTGGTTCTCAACCATTTCAAACCCACCACCGCCGCCCCCCCCCCTTTTACAGCAATATATTTTGTTATACTTCCTTTATGTATGAAAATGAAATTCATGGTTAGTATTATTATTATATATTCTCATGATTAAAAAATCAATAAAATGCCCAAATTCTAGTATAAAGAAGATACAAAAGGAAAATAATTTATAATAATGTGCATTTCAACATATAAATACATACTGTAGAAACTATAACATTTATACCCATCTTGGGGCTTCCCTAATAGCTCAGTTGGTAAAGAATCCACCTGCAATGCAGGAGACCCCAGTTTGATTCCTGGGTCGGAAAGATCTGCTGGAGAAGGAATAGGCTACCCATTCCAATATTCTTGGACTTCCCTTGTGGCTCAGCTGGTAAAGAATCCACCTGCAATGCGGGAGACCTGGGTTCGATCCCTGGGTTGGGAAGATCCCTGGGGATGGGAAAAGCTACCCACTCCAGTATTCTGGCCTGGAGAATTCCATGGAATGTAAAGTCCATTGGGGTCACAAAGAGTCAGACATGATTGATCGACTTTCACTTTCACTTCACTTTCACTTTGATGGATTCATTTAGATTTGGGAGAAGTGATAAAAGAAGAGGGTAACAGAGGGATCGGGTGGAGAGGGAGGTGGGAGGGGGTACCGGGATGGGGAATACATGTAAATCCATGGCTAATTCATTTCAATGTATAACAAAAACTACTGTAATGATGTAAAGTAATTAGCCTCCAACTAATAAAAATAAATGGAAAAAAAAAAAAAAGAAGAGGGTAAGAAGACATTCTATACAAGTACAGGAAAATGAAATAGCATAGCTAAATGTGGGCCCTTGGGTAATATCTAGTATTAGGAGAGGTAATAACAGAACAGACTTATTTGTACATGATTTAAAAAAGAAATCACCATAATTGAAATAAGGATAATGAGGCAAATTACAAGCTATTGAAACAGAGAAAATGAGGAAGTATAATATTTATGTAAATGAGCCGAGCCTTAATTATAAATGTTACATAAAGACAATTTTCTAAGTTATGACATGGTTTAGAATAGAGATGAAATAGCACAAAAGCATGTTGAGGCATATTTTCAGTCTTTTGCATTCAGAAGGGACCATATCCTTCAACGTATTTGGAGACCATATACATTGGTCTTTAGTAGGTGACAGGGAATTAAGTCCGAGGAAAACAACTACCGCCAAAACTACATAATCCTCTTCCCAGAAGCCAATCTCACGAATTCTCTTATTAGAATAAGAGAAGGATAACAGGCAACCAGGAAATAAATACATAGTTAAATCATTTTTTTCATACTTATCATTATGCTCCAAGAATTTTCAAAATATAGAGGGTAGGGCTTCCCTGGTGGCTCAGTTGGTAATAAATCTTGCCTGCAACGCAAGAGACCCAGGTTTGATCCCTGGATTAGGAAGATCCCCTGGAGAAGGGAATGGCTACCCACTCTAGTATTCTTGCCTGGAGAATTCCATGGAGAGGGTAGCCTAGTGGGCTACAGTCCATGCGGTCGCATAGAGTCGAACACAACTGAGTGATTAACACTTTCACCTTTCAGTTCCTTTCAGCAGTACTGTTAAATGCTATTTTAAAATTTTATTGGCAAAATACAGTGATGGAAAAGTTATATAGCAAATTCCTTACACAGTGAGTTTGGTTCCAACTCTGTTAAACGAAGTTTTGTATCTTCCCTCTTATATATTTGCTGTTAGTTTTATAGCTCTTGATGTAATTTTGCCACTGCACCAAAATCCTTCCCAACAAAATGCGTGGTTGGAAATGTTATGATCCATTGAGCAGTCAGAATGGAGAGAGTGGATACATTATTCAGTAATTTTGACATAATGTTTTGGATTCATGTAAGCTTCCTTATCACACAGTGAATTTCTCTAAAATGATTGGCCTTTTCATATAAAAGCTTTATATGTAAATATAAAAGCTTTGATGTAAAAGCTTTTCCATATGATTACATGTTACAGCACTAGCAGTTTATATTTGTGGTAGGTTTTATTTCTGCTGGAGATTTGAAAGTGATACTAGGGGACGTTTCTGTATGGTATGCTTCGTCAACCAGGCTTTAGTTCAGGAAGCCTGAGCATCAGGTGTTTCAAGCAGACAGATATTTAAAATTGGAAATTGGTTTCAACGTTGTTGGAAGGACTGGATGGGAAAAAGTGGGATGAAGAACATGGTTTTATGTAAAGATCTGGTAGGGCTGGAAGCCAGGGCTGCCTCTTCCTATGCTCCAGTACTCCACCCTGCCTCTCCGTGGGAGGCCCTGCGAGGCAGCTGCTGCCACGTTTATTGGAGCCCTTGGAGGAGTCTCTTTCACTCTCCTTTGCTTCCCGTCCTGGTGGCACAGCAGGGCACTTAGAAGGACGGGGATGGTCCTGAGTGTCACACACAGTATCTAGCCTATGCTTGAACTCCTCTGTGAATTGCAAGATATTTAATATCTTGGTCACTGTTCATTCATTCCAGTAGCATCCCTCAAAAACCACTGTGATGAATGAAAATGTCCTCCCTTCCCTGACTCCAAATTGTCCTTTAGGGAGCTGTATGTACTACTATTGCTAGACCCACTAATGTATAGCGCAGGGGTTCTTAGTCTGTGAATCCTGGTGAGTGTCAAGTTATTTATTAACCTCCAGCAGTTTGTATACAAAAGGTGTGTGAGAGTATGTGTGTATGTGAGACAGCTCATGGATTTTATCGGATTCTCAGAGATATCTGTGTCTCCCCAAAAGGAGTAAGAGTTCAAATACTGACAAGATCATGGTAGAGGGTGGGATTAGCAAAGGATTGGTGGAAGAGGGTTGATTTGGGAACTGAACTCTGAAGGATAAGCAGGTATTTGGCCATAGAGGGAGTATTTTTGTAAGACTTCATCCACTTTGAAGTATTTTCATAGTTATCTCATTTGAGCTTTTGGAACATGGGAAGAAATGGGAGCTGGAGTCTAGCAAAAGGCATTGGGAAGTTCTCTACATTTGTTTGCCTGGTGACTCAGATGGGAAGGACTCTGCCTGCAGTGCAGGAGGTCCAGGTTTGATCCCTCATCGGCAAGATTCCCTGGAGAAGGGAATGGCAACCCACTCCAGTATTCTTTCCTGGAGAATGCCATGGACAGAGGAACCTGGAGGGCAATAGTCCATGGGATTGCAGAGTCAGACATGCCTAAACGACTAAACTTTCACTTTCATTTCATACATTAGCACACAGAATTGAGGCTGGGCAGGAGGCAAAGGATATCAAAAAGAAGACGGTGATCTGCTGAAGAACAGTGGAAAGTTATCTGAGCACTCTAATATGCTTTGTGATATTTACTCTTCACAACAATCCTAGGAATTAAACCTACTTAGTACCTGAAGAAACAGGCTTCTGAGATGTTACATTCCTTGCTGTGATCATACCATAGTCATTAACATCAAGAACGTGTATGCTCAGTTGTAGCTGACTCATTGTGATCCCATGGGTTGTAGCCCATCAGGCTTCTCTGTCCATGGGATTATTCAGGCGAGAATACTGGAGTGGGTCATTGGTGGGACCCAAAACTAGTTGTCTCTGAAGTGGAGAACTTGAACTTTGCTTCAGCACCGAGCCACTTGTCATGAGCGAGTTTCAGACCTTCTACCACTTTCATTTTCAGTGCACCTAATGGCTCAGCATCTAGGGCAGGTGTCAGAGGACATGGTGTTAGTAAACAAGCAACACATGGAAAGAGCCAGGAATTAAATTAGTCCAGACTTCCAGGCCTTGGCTTTGTGGTTCTCTCTGCCTGGAATGATCTCTTCCAGTCTCTCTGCATCCCCATCTCATTCTTATCCATCAGAGTGTCCATGCTGACTGCCATATTGACCCAAAGTAGCCTTCTGTAGGGAGTCTCCCTGGTGACTTGGTGGTAAAGAATCCACCCGCCAATGCAGGAGTCGTGGGTCTGACCCCTGGGTAGGGAAGATAACCCTGGAGAAGGTGGTGGCTACCCACTCCAATATACTTGTCTAGAGAATCCCATGGACAGGGCAGCCTGGCGGGCTACAGTCCATGTGGTCGCACAGAGTAGGTCACAACTGAGCATAAGCACAAGCCTTCTCTAGGTTTTCAGTCACGCACTCTATTTATTTCCTCCGGGTGCTGCCAAATCTTATTCATTGAAAGCTTAGTCTTGTTCATTGCTCTGGTCCTTATTGCCTAGAAGAGTACCTGGCACCTGGTAGACTCAACATAATCTGTTGAATGAATGAATCACAAATGTGGGGAAGCCCCACAGTATTTCCAGTTTGGGCCTGGAAACATGTCTTTTGGAGTAAGGCTGTATTTGCAGATATGAGACATGAGAATCATGCAAGCCCAGTGAGGTAACTATTCTCTTACTTATTTATGGAGAATCTTGTTTTTTGCTACATTGGACTCCTGAAAAGGTATGTTAGGTTTGACAACTTTAACGTGAACATGTTACCCCATGTAACCTGTTGAGATTTGCTTGCCAGAAACAAGCATGTCTTTTAGCCATTATTTTTGTTTCTCTTTTTGTCTGTAGGTAGTTCATCATGATCCATGCCGTGGGGGTGCAGGACAGTGGAACAGCTTGTTCAGATTTAAACATCTTGCAACCGGGAATTATTTAGCTGCAGAGGTAAGATTAATAGATATAGTGCTATAAAATCTCTGATTCGGAAATAGTGAAGCAGGCAATAGAGAAGATGTATTTGTAGGAACAATATTGTGCACATTCGATTACTGCTAATCAAGTACTGGATTGGTGTGTCCACTATTCTCAAAATGTGAATATTAATTGAAATCTTAGAATGATCTTTGTTTTGAAAATAAAAACAGCAGCAACCTCCACAACAGAACCTTGTGGTTGGTTTGCTGGAAGGGTATTTGGAAGAGGGTATCTGATTTGCATCTGTGTGGGATTCATCCTGAGACTTCCTGTTTGACTTCACTTTTTCAGAATGTCTCATTTGGAACCCGATCAGCTCATAGTTGGTATGGTGTAGTCTAGATAGTTTCAGATTGATTTTTTGTGGCTATTCTTTCACTGATGGGTGGCTTTCATTGTTGAAACCATTGGAAAGGAAATGGTTTATCCCCCCCACCCCCGCGCCCCCCTGACATATTGCACTGTCCTAAACCTGTCAATAAAAATGGTAAAAACATGGAAAGGTCTTTTCTTTCTCCACTAAATGCATTTTGACAGAGTGAGGAGTGGTAGAAATAACAGCACTGAAGTTGTAGGAATGATTTAATTAAAGTTTAGTTATCTGGTTTAAAATTAGTTTTGAAAATATTTGTTATGATTTTTAATTTATTTTTTCTTAAATCTGTTTAAAATTGAAGCATGGTTGATTTACAATATTGTGTTAGTTTCACATTTACAGCAAAGTGAGTCAGTTATCCATACATAGTATACATGTTGTATATCTATATATATATATTTATATTCTTTTAAAAATTCTTATTCATTATAGGTTATTATAAGATATTGAATACAGATCCCTGTGAAAGTAAGAGTCACTCGGTTGCATCCTACTCTTTGTGACCCCATGGACTATACTAGTTCGTGGAACTCTCTAGGCCAGAATACAGGAGTGGGTAGCCTTTTCCTTCTCCAGGGCCCCAGGTCTCCCTCATTGCAGGCGGATTCTTTACCAGCTGAGCCACAAGGGAGACCCAGAGTTCCCTGTACTATACAGTAAATCTTTGTTGTTTATTTTATGTATGGTATTGTGTAGAAAATCTTTGTTTTCAGATACATGAAATATCCATTCATTTTACTCTTAACTCTGTTTTTCCACTTGAAGTTTCTTCTGGGATTCTAAACCAGAATTTTGTCTTGGGATGTCTAGTATTAATTATCTAACTTTTGCTTTTGGATGTTTCAGAGGGTAGGTAGGTGGGGCTGGAAAGCTGATGAGAAAAAGGTGGTGTAAGCAGGAAGTTTCTATAAATATGCTGACCCCAGTCTAAAGTAGAACGCAAACCCATTACCCTCTCCATCATGTTAATCTGTGATGGTTTTCCTTATAGTATTTCCCACGTTCTCACTTTTTATATGTCTTAATGACTTTCTCTGTCAAAATGAATACTCTCTGAAGGCAGGAATTTTTTTTTTTTTTTCTGACATCACCACTGCATGCCCAGCACCTGGGTAAGTGTCGGGTACTTTGAAAGCACTTATGAATACATTTTGAATGAATGAATGAATATGAAGAAGCTATTTAGGCTTCCCTAAGCTTAGAGAATGGGAAAAAAGAAAATTATAGAATTTGTATCTGAGACACATTTGAGACCATATTTGGGCAAATTAATCTCTCCAAACTTCCGTTTCCTCTGCTAGAAAATGGAGATAGTCACAATATTTATATAAGTTTATCAAGAGAATGAAATGATATAAAGTGCTTGACGTAATGTGTGACCATGGTAAGCTTCCAGGAAGGAATGCTGGCATGATTAATTTTATTATATGGCAAGTAGAAAGCATTCTTACTTTTATAAATATCTGACTCAATTTTAATGAATCGGCTCACTTAAATGAAATAGAACTTCACTGCTTATACCATAAATGTTTTGAAGTAACTTTTTTTGGAAAAGTTAAGCAGTAAGGTAGGAGAATCTTGTCTAAAATAAGAATTAGAAAAGTCTACTGGATGTCCTATCAAAGATTAGAAATGAAGATTAAAGTTCTTTTAGAGGTGGGGAAACAGTCAAGTACAACACACCTTGGGAGAGGGTGGTGGGGGGCGCAAGGAAGGGCAGCCGCCTGGTGGATGAATAAGGTAGATGGACAAGAGAGAGAGGCGTGTTCAGGCACTGAGGCAGGGGAGGTGTGCTCATTTTACAAACTAGTTTCATGTGTGTATCACACATAAGATATATGTGAGTTTAGAAGTGATGCTAGAAGGTGGGAGGGGAGTGATGGGGCCAGAAATGTCGGGTAGCTGGTTTTTTCAGGTCATATATATTAAGCCATGCAGAATGTGTTTAATCTTTAGCTTGAAGAGCAGCGTTCTAAATAATCTGTGTTCAAAACAGACCACTCCAGAGTGGCACTGTCCAATATGGTAGTCACCAGCCGGGTGTCAGCTATGTAAACTTCATATGTTTAAAATTAAGTAAAATTAGAAAGACTGGCAGCCTGGAAAGTCACACAAGCACCAGGAAAATCAAATGGGCTGAGTCACAGATGCCAAGCAAGAGAAGACAGGGTTTCAACAAGGAGGGGGTGCTGCAGAAAAGGTCAGGAACAAAGTGTCTTCACAGCATTTGGTGAGAATATGGTCATCTGTGACTTCACTGAGAGCATTTTTAGTGAAGACCAGAATGCAGGGGGCAGAGGAAGAGACGAGGAAGCCAGCAATCAGGAGGAGGTGTGGACTGAGATTGTATAATGGTTGTGAAGGGGGAGAAACAGAGTCATAAAAGGAAGGGAAGAGTTCTATTAGATTTTTATAAAGTGTTTTTTAAACAGTAAGATGGATGAGCTGTTCCAAGGAAGGATCTATCAGAGGGCAGGATTTGGAGGCATGTTACTCTTTTCCTCCAACTTTTCCACTTTCAACACACCTATTTGAAATATTAATTTAGTATGCTTGAGGCACCCCTGGTCAACTGGATGATGTAATTCTTAAATTGGCTTTTAGTTCATGGTGTTTATATTGGCCAGTGCAGCAAAGAGAGCCTGGAGAAGTGGGAAGAAAAGTCCCAGGTAGACCACTCACAATCTCTCTGCCTTTAAGCAAATATTTGACCTCTCTGAACCTCAGTTCCCTTGTGTGTGAAAAAGGTGATAATATATATTATATGGGATTTTTTGGAATTAAAGAATATCTTGTGAATTTTCAGCTCCTTGTACATAAAGGGTATTTAGTAAATATTAAGTCCCTTTGCTTCCATTGGGAGGAAGGGGAAAGGAAATGTGTAGCTGTGTTTATTATTATTTTATCTTTATAAATTTATCTTTATTATTTTTGTTATCCAAAACTGACATTTCTTTGTCAATAAGATAACTTAAGGGGGAAAATGTTTAGGGAATCACAACTGGCTACCTTGTATCTAGAACAGTCTCTGATAATTTATATTCAGTAAGTATTGAATAGTCTAATGAATAAATCATAGAGAGAATGAAGTTTTAAATCCAGTCATTTCACTTGGCAAAACAGGAAACCCAGAGTCAGAGAAGTGATTTATTTTGTCCAAAGTTAAGAAACAAGGTTAATGATAGTATTCAGGCTAAATGCTATACTTGGATTGCTTCATCCCTGTCAGCGAGTCTCAGCGGAGGATGGTCTTGTTCCCAGGGGCTGTTTGACAAAGTTTGGAGACATTTTTATTATCTCAGAGCTACTAGTATCTAGTGGCTAGAGGCTAGGGATGCAGCTAAGAATCCTATAAAGTGCAGGACAGATCCCACAACAAAGAATGGTCTGGGCCCAAATGCCGCTAGTGCCAGTGTTGAGAAGCCGATGTATGTTATACTGAAATTGCATAATCATTTTATTGACTGCCTCCTAGGTGAAAGCGCTGTTCTGTTATTGTGAAGAAAACAAAGATGACTAACATTTTGTCCTTGTCCTTCAAGAGGGTGCAGTCTGGAGGGGAATTATATTAACTCATCACTGGGACATCTATTTGTCAGATGTTTCCAGCATACATAAATATCTGAGATAACAGGTTATGTGTAAGGTTTAAATTATTAACATTTAAAGACGACCATGATAAATCTCTCAGTAAGTTTAAAGGGCTGCCACCTTAAATCTAAGTACATATGAGAAAAAACACCTAGAATTTTTACTTATACTTTCTTAATCTGATATTCCATTTAACCAGTGCTTACTGGGTGGCTAAGTTATTCAGAAAAATGTAATAAGCTTATTTGTTTAGAAATGAAGGGGAAACTAAAGAAAATTAGACTATTTCATATGCTGAATATTCTGTAGTCTTAACTGTGGAGGCAAAACATGTAAATTACAAGCAATTCAAGAATAGCACCATGTTTTGTGTGTGTGTGTGTGAGAATTGTAGCAAACACCTAGGAATTAGGACGGTGATGTGATATAACACTGTTTAGACTTTATTCTGTAAATTACTAAAGTGAACTAAGGTTTAGAAATGAGCCCTTACTCAGTTTGACTATCTCCAACAGTGTTAGTGAATTAGGGGTTTATTTTTGAATAATATACAGTGCTACTAACTCGTGGACAAAAATGTGGAACAAAATATTTAATTGTGAATTAGGTAACAGGGCATTTGTGACTGTATTATCAGGCTTCCTTCTATAATTTCAGTTTCTGTGGGCCATGCAAGAAATGAGGTGACATGAACGGAAGTAAACACTCACATATTTTTGCTTTTTTTTTCTCTTTAAAAATTTATTTATTTTTTAATTGAAGGATAATTGCTTTACAGAATTTTGTTTTTTCTATCAAACCTCAGTATGAATCAGCCATTGATATACATATATCCCCTCCCTTTTGAACCTTGCTTTTAATATACAGCACGGCTGTCAGCACACTCCTTGCCATTTTGCCATAGATCTTTTTCTTGTATCACCTTATTGGTGCCGGAGCGTTCACAATCCTGTCTGTGGTTGAGAAAGTAATTTTATTGTAATTTGAATAGGGACAGTATGAA